TGCTGTGTCCCGGCCTGAAGCCCGACTGGTATGGGTCTAGATAGTCTGTTTCATCCAGGTGCCGAGGGAATTGCTGCGCAACCACACTCTCAACAACCTTCGCCGCAAAGCGAAGGTTGGAGACCGGGCGATAATTGGCCAACTCGTCTGGGTCCAGGGAAGGCTTCTTGAGGAGGGGCCTCACCACGGCCTCCTTTAGTACTATGAAGTACTCTAATGCAGGTAAAAATAGAGAGCTTGTTTAATACATATACACATCAAACACACACGGACACTTAATGTATATTTAATATACACATAAAAATGGTGGAATACAGTGACTAATATGCAGTCAGATATCTTTAATATTGTAGTTGATACTAAATGATATATATCACTATACAGTTAAGTATAAACCATGTAGTACATTTTGGTATTAAATTTATTTCATCGGATTCTTTTACTATGTCTATTTTTGGCAAACAGAAAGAAATGGGGACAGCATTCAGCCACACTGTTGAAAACAGGTCATAATATCCCTTCCATTTACTGTCACAGAATTACATAAAACTTTGTCAGTAACATTCTAATAATTTCAATTTATATAATTTAATGCCATATATATTGTATAATTAACCAATACAGATGGAGAATGTCCTAACCTGTTAATCAGGTATTTTTTTAAGGTAAATAACCTGGAGGCATAATTTCTTTTCTCTCCTGTTTTTATAAAGAGTAGTTTCTTTTCTGTTTTCTATCTCAAAGGAAGAATTTGTGTGTTTTAAAGTGTTTGCATGCTGTGCGTTATAGATCATTTGACACAGTAAAGAACATACCCAGTGAGTCTCTGACTTGCCAATAAGTCAGGTTTACAAAATTCAACCAACATCAGTGCTACTACAGTACCCAACATGATTCCTTTTACAGGATCTTATGAAAGTGGCAGAAAAGCAGAATTTCCATCTTTAGGCAAGCTTCAAATAATAATTTTTGATTAATAAAGAAAGAGAATTAAGTTTATTTCATGATATAAAATAATAAATTATTTTCATCCATAAAAAAGAAAATGTTTAAATTGTATACCAAAGCAGCCCAAAATATGAAATACAAAACACATTCCGATGATACATTTTATACATTTCTAATGGTTAATAAAGATAATAGAGGAAAGACAATTTTCTAACAGCTTGACATTATTATTCCTATTGTTTCATTTCTCAGGCATTTTATCCTGTGGAAAATCCTGTAGAAGTCAAGTATGGTGATATTCTGGCCGCAAGATGCGTCTTTACTGGTGAAGGCAGATCCTCAGAAACTTATATAGGGTGTGTTTGTGTTAGTATTTGTATTAAGTTAGTGTTTATATAAAAGTCTGAGAATCAAAAATGGTTATTCCATGCAGAATATCTTAGCTGTTAATGTTTCCTGTTTTGCCAGTGAAAACAGATAAGGGTATTGATGCTACAAGTGAAGACTCCCCAAAGATTTTTTTTTTCACCTTCCCATTAATCAGATCATTGTTGTGACTAATAATGTAACTGACAAATCTGGAATCATCAGTTTTGGGATTAGTGAGTAGTATTGTGAAAATGTATTCCATTTGTATCAAAGCTATCAAGAGACTGGCCAAATTTCAGTTGGCTGAGAAAAGCAAGACAAGAAAGCCCAAGTGTTTAAATCCTGGAGAGTAGACATAATATGGTCAGAATTCCTTATTGTACTATGACAGTCAACTGTTGTGTTACAGGATTTAGTCTTTTTCCAATAAAGACTCTCATCTAGCTGAGGTTTCTGAGAATCGTCTGCCAAGATTAGCCAAGTAATGAATAAGGGGTTGTAGGTCTGCAGAGTCAGCATTTGCTGCTGAGCCCTCTGAAGCCTGACAGATTTGATCTAGTACACACAGTATATGTGTGAAGCCCTTACAATGACATCTATTCTGCAACTTAGTAGAATCAGCTAGGATCAATTAGTGTATATCATGTTACATATCCCAATGAAATTTAGATGTATAAATGATCATTTTTAAAGGCATTATATGCTACCATTCATAGTGATTATAGAAAATTAGTTCATTTTCAAGGAATAAAGAATTAATTTGTTCTAGTGGTGAACATGTGGCATGATGAAGATGCTGTTTCTAAAATACAGTACCTGTTCCTTGTTCATAGAATTAATACAATATGGCACAAAAATGATCACCTTCATCTCCAAATTCACCAACTATAAAGCTTGTAGGGTAGGGCAGAGCAGAGCAAAGTAAAGTAGAGAGTTCTTGCTTGAGTACCTTATTAAAACCATATAAGAGCTTTTTTTACTCAAATTATATGGTATGTATAGAATCCGGTTCTATATAGACCGCAATTGAGACTGGCAACTCCATTGATAAACAAGATGGTTAAGTGAAAAATCACATGAACCCACCCTTCATACAATGTCCATTCCACTATGGTCTTCAAGCAAATTAGCACTGAGACAACTTTGGTTGTGCTTATTTTTGACTAGTTATGGACTCTGGATGTGAGTACTCATCCATCTTAGCCCTCCATGATCTCTTATCAATCTTTGATACTTCACAGTAAATTTCTAGAAGCAATTCAAGGTGCTGGTTATCACTTATAAAGCCTTTTAAGAGGGTCCTGTTGGGATGTCTTTTAATGGCTGTTTTTAGTGTGGGCTGTTTTGTTTGGGCATGTTTTTGTTTAAACTTAATACTAGATTTTATATGCTCTCTGCTGGGGAGGATGGCAAAATGAAATGAAATGACAGTCAGATAGGGTAGGTAGGCACTCTGTTCCCTTAAATGCTGTCTGGTGAAGTGTACCTTCTCCATAACTGACTCTGCCCTTCAGATCAGCTTCCTCCCTGAGATCCCAAGTCATCTTGGCTATCCATAAAACTATAAAGACCTGGTCTTCCAAGCATTGAGCTAAGATGGAAGTGGAATCCAGTGGATGCATGGAGAAGTGGTGACCTGTGGGTACTGTGTCAGGCACAACAACATGATATTTTACGCAGAGTAGTTTCTTTATTGTCATTCAGCTATAGAAGGAATCTGCAGGAGTAAAACACAATCTACATAACTATCAAATATATCCTGCGAACACTTAAGGAGGGTCCACTCTGTACCTCTTCCTACATAGCAAAGATTCTGGAACTAAGAGCAAACTAAGATTTGCTCTTAGTTCCTCCTGAAAGACTTCTTCCCACTAGCGACTCTATACCAGATTCTACCACACACCGTGAGATACATTTTTGTTGATGATATTTTTTGTTTATTATTACATTTTATTGTCAGGCTCTGAGTTTCCAGGGTTTTTATATATAAATGGATGGTCAAACAAATCTTTTAAATAAATAGACATAAAAAAAAGAGTTATTTGCAGGACTCCTCCCGCTCTCTTGGTATCTATCCATCCCATATACTTTAGTAAGGACAACATACCCAAGTCTTTTCAATGACAAAACGCCACTTTATGAGACCTTGGAGGCAAGTTTGTAGCCCCTGCAATTTGCTTCCAAATATATAGTTGGTCCTGACCTTGCATGTCTTTAGAAGGGTAGTCAAATCCTGGCTCTTTCTCCAGGTCTTTGGTCTTGATGAGTAGTTGTTGGATGTTTAGTAATGATTTTGTGGTATGAGTTGACTTTTAATGTATTGTGTTTGTTTCTTTGGGATTTGTATTTGTATTTGACTTTGGTACACTGCCCAGTCTCTTTGTTTAAGCTGGGTAGAAAAAAAGCAAACAAACTGCAAACAATAGATAAATACAGCACTAGTGTGAAATAAAATGGGACCCATTGACAGATAGAGAAGGTAAAAATCCTTCTACAATGATACCTAAGAAGCTGAAACAGTTACCTAAACAATAATTCAATCAGACTCAATATTTTGCAACTGTTCTGCATCCATCAGTAATTCTTAGAAAAAAATTGGGAGAAACCGTATTTGAATGGCAGGGCTTGTCATGTCCAGCTCTTCTTTTGCCATCTGTTCTCAACAATTGACACACGGTTTCTGAAAAGTTACTTTCAAAAAATAATTCCCCATTCATATTTGTAGAGCAAACGATTCTACAAAAGATTCCCCATTCATATTTGTAGAGCAAACAAGTGTCTAATTGCTCATTGTTTTTCAACAAATAAAAAAGGAAACCAGTTTTGTCTGCCACTGATATCTTGTTTCTCATTAATAACTAAAGTTATAACAAATAACCTACTTCTTTATCTGCCAAGGAAAACAAATGTGCTATGTTAAAAAATATTGACAATGTTTGGATATTGTTAATACATGTAGGAAAGTTAGTTTTATTTCTCAATTACACTTCAGTGTTTTATTTATGTTTTAAAGAGGTGGCAGATTTCTGACAGCTATCTAAATCAACTGGAAGGAGAGGAAATGAATTTTAAAAGGAGGAGGCTAACACTAATCTTGCTGAGGCAAAGCAGCTTTCTGGAATGGTTCCATATTTTAAAAAGACTGGATACCAATTCTCTTTTGGGAAGGTCTCATTCGCTTCCTAACAGATGTCATTATTGTTGCTATGGTAAATAAATGAATGCTGCATGATGCCACAGGATAAGAGTAAGCACCGATGTCTTTGGAAGCTGCAGAGAGTCCACCCCCACATCATTTTATAAGTGTAGGCTGACTGATTTGATTGTGAAAATTAATTGATGGGAGAGAAAGACAAAGCTTTTCACTTGTCTTCATTCCCCCTTCTATATCTTTCTGTGTTTCACACATCTTTTCTTTCCATTTAGCCTTCTTAACAAAATGATTTCAAAATGAATGTATTATCAGTATAAACCTCTTGAAGCAACTGTTAGATGTTCTGTATGCAGGAATATTTTTTTTATTTCTGAAGAAAGATGTTTAAATATTCTATTAATTCTTGTTTAAGAAGCAGGGTTCCTGGTGAAACAAATTATAGGATCTTTTTCAGTTTGAGTTCAGGCCTGGGCACAGAATAAAAATAGTACTAGCTGTTCTAGTGGATAATATTTTCAGGATCTAGCAATCATTTTAGACCTCTTTGTGGATTTCAATATTTCAACCGTGGTACTGGATCGCCTATGGGGATTGAAGGTTGGAGATATCTTTTGTAGTGGTTACACTCTACCTTAGTTTGTATTAATTGATTAGTGGCATCAAGTTAATGTTGGCTCCTAGCAACCACAAAGATAGATTTTGTCCCTAATCTGGTCCTTCAGATCTTCCAACAGGGCCACCATTGGTAACTGAGTTCAGCTAGGAAGCTGCTGGTCATCTTGTTCTTTCTCCTTTCATCTTTCCCAGTATTAGAACCTTCTCTAAGAAGCCACATCTTTGTATACTATGTCCAGTGTAGTATAATTTGAGTTTGTCATTAAATCTTTAAGTGAGAGCTCTGGGTTGAGTCATCTGGTGATTCATTGGTTTGTTTTCTTGACTGTCTATAGTATTCTCAGAAATATTTTCCAATATCAAAGTTCAAAAGAGTCCATTTTCTTCTTATCTTCCTTCTTCAAAGTTACCTAGCCTAGTAGACACTTCTAATCAGCAGTGATAGATAAGGAACAGTTATACGAATGGGTAAATATTCAGCTTTGTCCCCATTGCTTTTCAACCACTATATACATCTGCTGGGAGAGATCATCACTAGTTTGTACAAGATATAATTGTACACTATTTCATCACTCCAGAGTGAAGTAGCATACAATTATACCCAGGGTGACGCTGGGATAGAGGTGCTATGGGTATCTAAGCCTAATATCTGGAACTTAATGTGGGACTCAAGAGGTAGAAACAAGCTTCAACTCAATCCCAGTAAGATAGAGTTAATGTTTGTTCACAAACATTCTAGTTTCACAATTATTATACAAGGTCGCTGACATTGTATATTTAGACTTTCCAGAAGCTTTTCATAAATTTCCTCATCAAAGACTTGGGGCAGCTGAGCAATCAGTAACAGATTGAACAAAAGAAAATAAAGAATAGGAATAAAATGGCAGTTTTCACAGTGGAAAGAGATAAGAAGTTAAGCATCAATACATCTGTTTCAGGCCTAGTGCTATTTAATATGTTGATATAGAAATCAATCTAGTCTACCCTATGAGGTGGCAAAATTTTATTTCTTTGTTTAATTAATTCAATTTATATAGTTTACAACTCTCGGTTTTTGATTCTGAGGAGATAAAAATTATTTAAGGAGTGAAGAAACAAATAGACTATGAATCGCTTCTCTCTAGACTTGTTGACTAGGACGTTAAAAGAAAGTACAATTCAACATCAGGAAGTACAAAGTGAGCCTTATTAGGGCTAGGAATTCATATTCCTGTAATCAAATAATGATTGAATTGCTAGTGGTTAACCAAGAAAAAAATATTGGAGTAAATGAAATCATTTACACAATGTGCAGAATTTGTAAAGAAGACAACTTCCTTGATAAAGGTCAGTAGGAAATAGATAATAAGTCAGCTAATATTTTAACATCCCTATGAAATGTTACCCCACATCTAGTATCTGAGTACAGTTCTTGTTATCATGTCTCAAGAAAAGATACCATGGGGCTGAAAAACATATACAAGAGGACAACAGAAAAGTCAGTTGATCAGAAGGTATGAATACTTTCCATGTAAGCATAGCAAGCAATAATTTGGGCTGTTTACATTGGCAAAAAATGCTTAGAAATGTTTCAGATTTATAGAATTATGGATGGTAAATTGAGCAAAGAACATGTTTCTCCATCACTGACAAGAATTAGAAATTACCTAATGACTAATAGAAAAATTAAAATTGATAAGAAAAGTTTCTTCATTGGCATCTAATCAACTTAGCGGTATTGGCGGAAAAGGAGATTAGAGAATTTTCTACTAGCCCTGATTACTGAGTGTTGGCTCCAAATACAGATGCAATTTGGCTTCACATATTAGATACCCAGAAGCAACAATGGGAAAGAACAGCTGCCTGGATTTCTTATTTGTGGACTTCTAGATGCATCTGGGGTGCACTGTTTGAAACAGAATGCTAGATAGATAGTTTAGGCATAATCCAATCAGGCTGTTCTCATATTCTTATGTTCTCCATAAAGTTGTTGCAAGAGCAACAACTCTGGATGGTCTTTTTCCAGCTGAGATTTATATACTAATTTTTGCTCAGTTTGGACCAAGATAGTCTAGCAATGCTCTTATTACTTACTCACTTAGATTACTGTAACACTTTCCACATGAGACTATTTTGGAAGCTATAGTTAGTACAAAATAAGGCAACTAAGGTGATTAGTGAGTGAGTGCTGCTGTGTAAATATTATATCTATTATCTGGCTGCTGTATGGATTATCTCAAGTTCCTATTTAAGATTATGGATTTGACTAATATAGCCCTATATGGCTTGGTGTTCCTTAAGGACTGTCTTTTCTAGATGGAATTTGCTATGTCTGGACAGGCAGAGGAATAATGCTCATGTATGTCTCTGTATAAATAGCAAACAACGCAGATCCTATGTAATCTTTTTTTTGTCTGTCCCCATATTGCAGAATCCCTTGTTCCCAGAGGTGCACTTGGCATCCTCTCTACTGGCTTTCTGCAAGCTATATCTAGTGCAGACAAGTTTGTTGGAGCTGTCATTTGTGGATTAGTGGTTGACTATTACTTGGGTGGGCACTGATTTCTATTTGTCTTGAATTTCATTTAGCTTTTATATTTAATATTTTGTGTAAACTGTTAGGAGTATGTTTTGAGTTGGGTGGCATAGAAATACTTGTAATGAATAAATAAATGGATTTGTCATGTTGAAAACACTGGTACTGTATTCATTAATTTTCTTTTGCATTAATTCTTTAAAAGAAAAGGAAAAAAGCTTGCAATCTAAGCTTGAGGGAAAATTGCAGCATCACTATTATAGCATCACTTAATCTAAATAAAAGATGCTACAATTAGTGTCCCATAATAACATAATGAAACTTTTTTTTTAAACTTGGATCTATACTTTGTGGCCTTGCAGAACAAGGGAGAGGCAATACAATGAATCTGGCATGCATTAAATAGAAGAGCCCTAAATTAAAAGAGTAAATTATTAATGATTTTGTAAATGGAATATATCATCGGGATGGGTGGTAGGACAGTGGGGGAGAATTCTGAAGGAAAGAATAAATAGTTTATACTGTTGCATTCCATATAAGTGATCTTGATTGAAATCTGCACTGCTGGATGCATTTTGATGGAAGCTTGTGAAATATATTTACAAAAATAAAACAGAAATGAGTTGTATCGAAGCCACAATTAAGCAGACACCGACTTAATAGGATTGAGAGACAACTAAGAACCTGGCAGTGGAAAAAAGTTTGCTTTGAAGGCTGAAAGTGCTAGGAATTTCTACTAAGGTCTAATCTACTTCATAAAACTATGTAAAACAATGTTCTTAATAAATGCTAAGCAAACAGTTGAGATAATAGCTTTTATTTCAAGAGCTCCATGCATGTTTAATGTGAAATATTTTTAAAGAACAGTGCTGTCTAACTTAGTAATTGGAAGGAGATGTCCTTCCCTCTTCTACATTTTATATTAAACTTTACAAGTATGTTGCTTCTCTAGCTAAAATTTATATTTTGTCTTTTCTCTCTATCGTATTGTGATGAAGGGGCACAGCCAGGGATGAAATGTGCAATTTCTACATTATGTATTACATGGAAGCCAAATATGCAGTTTCATCCATGACCTGTACACAGAACATTAAGCCAGAGATATTCAAAAGCATACCTCAAGAAGCAAATATTCCTATTCCAGTCAAGCCTGATATGATTATGATGGCCCATGGACATAATGAAGGTAAAAATATTTATTCCTTTGCTAATACCACTATGGGAAAGAATGATATGGCTGAGTATATAGAATATTTGTGAGGAAGTCAACCAAGGTAATTGAGGTATCTCTGTAAACATGCCAAAAGTTAGATATGCAGCCAAAAAAAAATGTGCAAAAAAAAATCCAACACAGCCCTGCAGGTGGTCAAAGTACATTCAGCTGGTAGGGAATTATGAAGTATTTAATAGTTTAAGAGTTAATTGTCATATTACTTTGCTCTAAATCTTACTATTTGCCAAATAAATAAATATTAACAAATGGACCAGATTCAAAACAAAATCTGTTATTAGAATAGGTCTAATTCTATGTGAAATTAAAAATAGTGTTAATGTTTATTGACTGAGTTTTAATTCTGTTCCTTTATCTTTTTCTTATCTATTGTGTTAACTTTCTTTGTTATCCAGATTGGATGAAAAAGTGAAATAAAAATTAAAAATAATGCAGAGATTTAATTTAAATGAAACTATTCTGTTTTACTAGTAAATGCACTTGAATGTGTAGATAAGATATAGTTTAATCTTATGGAAATCAAGCTGCTTGATTATCGCATATCCAGTGTTTCTCTTTCCCCTTTCTTCTGGGTTAAACATAAACATAAACTCAAAAAAAGCAATCCTCTGACTTAAACTAACTGTAATTTGTTATATTGAAACTGTGTCAAACTACAATTTTATGATACTATGGTACTGAGGATTGAAAGATACTTTTTAAACTAGGTCTATTTAAATAAATCATAGTTTTAAGGGACTAAAATAAAGATTAAATAACCAATAGGTTAATAGGACATGGATGTTTCCAATCTCTTCATAGCCTTTCCAGAAGAGAAATTATTACAGTAATGCTCTATCTGAATTGAGATAATGCTTTCTAGCGTCATGTGATATATCAGGATGGAGTATACCAACAATGACTACATTTCCATACTCCAAACAATTTCATATCATTTGGTTATAAAATTAATCAAAATATGTTCCAGATCATTCCAGATCATTGACAATATTGCACTAATCTCTTGAGATAGTAAAACATTTTATAAGCTGAAAGAATTTTTCTAATTTTTATATCCAATGAGCAAATCTCTATTGGAATATTTATAAATGTTAGAAATTGTCTCTTGGTTTGTTCCAGTTTATTTCTGTGAGAAAATATTCCTTGATTAGTATATCTGCCCTTCCTATAGTAACTTATTTGACAAGAATTTGATACATTGCAGGGTTCTTTCAATTGAAGAACCATTGTGAACCATATATGATTATCTGTGACTCATTAAAGAATAAGTGGCTTAATAACTTATGGACAGAAATGATCTAAGTTACAGATAATTATAAATCAATTATAGATAATATATTTTAGTTAATTAAATTTTATCCCCAAATGTAATGATTCTCTTCCCAAAAATAATACTTTGTTTCTTCATGGCATTCAACCTAAATTTAGGTGCATATGGCTTAGCCGGAAGAAGCAGAATTCCTTATTTTTCCTCCCTATAGTGACATCTCTAGAAATCCCAAATTGTATGACTACGGTCAAGAAATGGTTGAACTGTGTAGGCTCTTATCTAAATAGAAAGAGAAGGCTCCCTGTAAAACCGGTATGCATACCTTCATTTTATAAGGGTCCTGTTAGACTACAAAATTCCAAGCAATCACTATGCTGCAACAAACTCAACTATTGTTCCTGTCTAGTGGTCTTAGCTCAAATCTGGTGGGCCTAATCTTTTGCCAGTATCCTTTCAGGCAAGCTCTTGCCTTTTGTGATTATATCTAGATTCAACTCATGGTGATTGAATATCTATATAAATGTGATTGGATAGAGGAATAAGAATTTCGGTGAATTTCTCTAGTAATTTATGTCCTATTTGTAATATGAAATTCCTTGATGAAATATTTTTTATTTTCTTTTTTAGAAATCAAAAATGAAAACATGGGTACTGTAATACAACAGCCAAAAAGAGAAGAGGAGGAGGTTTTAGATCAAGGTATATATTATACTTATCCCTTTAAATGCGTATTTTATAATTCTAGTTAAAACTGTTATAGTGTTATAAACATAGTTGAAGCTTTTTTTTTGCTAACACATAAAGCTATCCTTGCCACTCTTTTGTAGTGCCCCAAATATTTTAAGAAAAAGCAGTTATTACCAACCTCTAATTTTGCAAATGCCTCCTTTAGCAGAACCTAATTTGATTTTTCAAAATTAATTTATTTAATTGATTTGTATAATTATAATCTTATTTGTCTGTATACACCACAAAAATATTATTAGATTTTACTATATTCCAAATTGAATTAACACTTAATTTGTAGCTTTTAGTTACAAAAGTACAGAAAAATAATCCATATATATTTTGTAAGCAGTACATTTTGACACTGATATTTCTAATATAACAATTTTAGTATGTTTGCCTTAATGTGGAACAGCTTGGAAAGAAACTCAAAATCTGCACAAAATAAGTATATTTGTGTATTTTAATATTTCATATTAATATTAATTTTATTTCAGTGTAACTGTATAAAATAAGTTTAATTGCATGTTTTTCAAGGCTTATATTAAACAAATTGAACATTAATATCTATAGGGTTTTATTAAAGTGTTCTTTGAGGACATGATTTATTGTGGTTCACTGTAGGCCAAAGAATGGCTAATAGAAGTAATGGAATTTATATATTATTTACTTATAAAAATATAGCTATAGGTTCTTTATCTATATAGCATATATAATGTTACACGTGTATACATAATCAGGTATCAATCAATATGCAAAGGGAAATTACCTAGCTTGTATTTTCTCAATCAGTACCTTAAATGTGTTTGCAAATGTTATTTTGTGAAGGTGTTTACCTCTCTTATCTATGGGAACTTTGCTTGTAAAATGTGTCTATTAAATGAAATCATATAAAATATGTGTATTAGGAAAAAGCACCAGCAACTAATAATTAATTTTTATGCTTTATTTATTCATCTGTGAAATGTTTCAGTAGAAAAAGATTGACCAAATTATTCTGATGAAGTTTTTGCTACCCATTTTCTTTATATTGGTAATTCAATGATTAATTGTCCATTTGCATATTTCAGCAACCTAGATTGCTGGTCACCCTTGTCCAGAGATCATCAGGGATAGTTAGCAGATAAGTGTTACTGTCTTTAAACTGAAAAACTTATACAGTTAGTCCTCAACTTACAAAAGTTCATTTAGTGACCTTTCAAAGTTACAATGGGACTGAAAAAAGTGACATGTCCATTTTTCACACTTACGACCTTTGTAGCAGCCCTATATCATGTGATCAAAATTCACATACTTGGCAATTGGTTCATACTTCTGACCATCACTGTGTCCCAAGGTCATGTGATTACCTTTTGAAACCTTTTGACAAGCAAAATCTATGGGGAAGCCAGATTCACTTAACAACTGTGTTATTAACTTATCAACTGCATTGATTTAATTCACAACTGTGGCAAGAAAAGTTGTAAAATGGGGCAAAGCTCCCTTAACAAATGTCTCATTTAACAACAGAAATTTTGGTCAATTGTCATAAGTTGAGGACTAACTATACTTCATTGCCCTGATATTCCTCTTTGTCATAATTCTATGCTATTTAAATTGCTATAAATAAGAAAACAAAATGCTACTTTTGTAGGTAGATATTTCAATAAGTTGGTATTTCTATCTAATGTTTTTGGTTTTCAGTGAATGTCCATTTGTATAGAATTTTGAAATGTTTAACTCTCTTAGCAGTTGTGTTACTGCTAAAGGGGCTAATAAAAAATGGAAAAGTACATTTCTATTCAAGGCAAAGTTGAACTAAAGGGGAAAAAACATCTCCCATAGATAAAAAGGGAAATCAGAGTGAAAGGTTATAAATTGACATAAAATTCCTGTACACTTTCCATGTTCCTTCTATATCAGCCAGGATTTTCAATGTCCACTGAAACCAACAATTTATATACTTTGCTCTGAGATACATGCATATGGTCTAGTTATGTATTTATATGCACATGGTTTATTTAATCGTTTAACATATTTATGTCCCACCTTTCATTCATAAACTCATGTTAGTGTGCACAGTCTTCCAGAGATCATTGGCAGTTAGCAGTGCATAAATTAATTTAAAAATTCCCCTCTCACCCCTATGAATGGTATGTGTTTTCCTCAATTTTGGATCCTCATGGTGATGACACATGTAGTGATGTCAATTGACAGCAACATCAAGATGAAGTATGACAAGTTAGAGATGTACCAGGACCTGAAGGAGGAACTAGAGAGGATGTGGGAAAATAAAGTCCAAAGTGGTCTCAGGTGGTAGGAGCACTTAGGACTGTGATTCTTGAGCTGTGTCTCCAACAGATCTCCCATCAGAGCTCTCTATCCAGAAAAGTGCAGTGTTAGGAACAGCTAAGATACTGTGTAGAGCCCTTAAACTCCAAGGCTGAGGGGGTTCAAGCTCATGCAGAACAGCAGTGCATCACCTTGGTATATTCCTCACTTGATGGCCACTTGTGTGAGCTATCTTGAGTTGATTTTCAGTGTTGTCTTTCACAATCCCATTGAGTTCTAGAGGAAGGTCCTTCACGTCATATTGACTTTGCATAGTGCCAAGACATAGGCTTCCTTATAATCAATCCAGACTACGTCCAGGTTGGTCTCAATGGTTTTTTTGCCTCTGCATCCTAAGCACCTCAGCCACCACAGCCTTTTAGAACTCACCTCACCTCGATAAATGTATGTTTATATATGTGTTGATCAAGTCAATCCCCAAAAAGAGCAGAGCCAAGAGGAAAAAATATATTAATTAATTATATGACTACTGATGAAAATTAAGTATTCGTAAAATTATCTAATCACTTACTTGTATATCACATATCATATCACTAACAATCACTTTTCACACACATAAGTACATAAAAATCCACAGATCCAGTCATCTTCATAAGTAAATAGAAGAACACAGTAATTCCCATAGGGAAAGAGAGGTGGAGTTCAATGGCTCTTCCTTCCAGGAACATATTTATATGAGGCTAAGGCTTATTCTCCTCCTTTTTTTCATCATATCCAGAGGGTGAAGACACTTCTTTCAGTTTTAAGGTCTCTAGTAACTAATGATCCTAATTTTCATGAATCTCTATTAGCTTGGACAGTCTTTAGGGAAGCTTTCTGAGATAAACAACGTCTATTCCAGAATTTTGCATCCTGGACAATCTCCAGATATGTATCAGCTCCTAGAATTCTCAGTTATGACCATGATTGCTGGAAATACTGTTCTACATGTACCTGCCAATGAGAGGAAGATAATATACACAGTTTTTTTTCCTCTTTGAAGGAATGGCAGTAGCTTCTTTTCTTCTCTGACAGCTCTTTCAAGCATGTTGTTCATTATTTGTGCTGCCTACCCATTTCCTCATTGTCATATGATAATATTCTATGTGCTGTATGCTCAGCAAAATACCAACCCCACTCCAAATCACAACAATTTGGGAGGACAGTCCTCCTTGACCTTTTGTATACTGTTGAAAGACTGTAGTTTGCAATATATAATAGAATGAAATATGGCATCAAAGCTGGGAGAGTAAATAGTCAGCTGTTTCTACAGATTATATTATAACTTAGCACTGAACTGGTACCGTATACCATGCATAGGCATTGAACACATGTGTGTTCTTATTCTCCACTGGCTTAGTATTACCCAACAGGCCTTTGTTTGCAAGATTTCCTGTAGATTTTAATGTGATATTCTGAAACATTTTTTGCTTGGGAATTCTTGCTTAATATAGCAGTTAATGTACTCTCAGTATGACATCTGATATTAATAGGAACATGTTGCATTAAAAAAAAAACATTAGAAAGTTTCTTCTGGGATTTTTCTTGTAAAAGCATCATTTAAGAAGATGCTACGTTATTATTTTATTCAATAAAAGTCTCTGTTTCTTAGATGTATATATGCCCCCAAGATGTTTATATGGCAACATATTCTTTAACTGTTATTGGCTAAGAAAGAATTCAAAATTCTTAAGACTGTATATGAGTTTTATAATTTTTTAATAATTGATATAAAGTATTTTTCCTGCTGAATTTTATTGCAATAGTTTTAGTTTTATATATAAACAAAAAATAAATAAAAC